TTTCTTCACTGTATTAGCTCATAACTAATTTAGGTAATGATAATGATTCTGTTTATTGGGTTTTTCCATTAAACTTGCTTATTTCAACATTATTCATAATAGAAATAACCTATTTTTTCTTGAGTAGAATATATTATTAAATGAAATTGAATTGTCAAACTACTTATCTATCAGACCATTTATTTGTATTTAGATAAGAATTTATTATATAAATGACTTATCTAAATACAAATAAATGGTCTGATAGATAAGTAGTTTGACAATTCAATTTCATTTAATAATATATTCTACAAGAAAAAATAGGTTATTTCTATTATGAATAATGTTGAAATAAGCAAGTTTATGGAAAAAACCCAATAAACAGAATCATTATCATTACCTAAATTAGTTATGAGCTAATACAGTGCAGAAATGATCATTTCAGAATAGTCTGTTTTTTTGGTAACATACGTAATTGTTAATTAGTCAATAGTGTATGTAGTAAATATATTTCAGTTTTAGTCGGCTATAGACTAAAAAGAAAAGCAATTAGGATTGTTTCTTTTTAATCAAAAAAATGCTTCCTCTCAAATAAAATAGAACTCTGAAGAAAGTAGTTGTAATTATTATTACTTTGATGAAAGTAAAATTATTGAGGATGTCATAGACTTGTAATTACTCTTCGTATTTTTAACATGTTAGATCAATCTTTTCTATGACCATATGATGGGATGCCGGCTAAGAAATGTAGTCAGTTAACTGTTAGACAATCGTTGACATCAGTTTGAATACTAGTAATTGGATGATTTCTGTACATTCTGTCCACTTACAGCTATTCTTCCTCATTTGGGTAGGTTGTTGCTGATGGTGTCTGGCCAACAGATCCGCAGTATCTTGTGTCAAAAACTGTTAATAAACACATGTATCTTTTGGATGATGGTTTTCGTGATTCTCCGAGTTCTGCCCAGCATACAATAGAATTGTCGTGAGTTGAGTTGGCTAGTATCCCGAAAGAAAGGCCGTATTAAACTTTTGTGACTGATGTTTGTCCAATTGTTCAGCTCTTCCTTAAATTCAGCTTCATTTTGGTCCACCATTAGGTGTTGATCTGGAGCTTTGTCAGCTCCTTTCTTTGTTATGCTTCTTTCCTTCTGAAAATTTCAAATGGTACTGATATGATCGATTTTGTTCTCAGTAGTGTAGTCTGGGGAAGCCCATGTAGCTTTGTGTGTGCTTCTGTACTGGGAAATATGGTGCATGTCGTCCACGACATCTATATATACGGTGCTGTCAATTGCAACTTTGGAGTTTCCATCAAAATGGTCACAGTACCTTTGCTGGACATTTCTCTCTCTAATAGAATTGTTCTTCATCCTCTTCATCGTTATCATTGTTGGGTGCATAGAGCAGGTCGATAATGATTACGATTCATCGTTCTTTGTCTAGGGGAAGCTTTGATGAACCTGGTATCGATAGATTCGAATTGTATAAGTGGCTTTTCGTGCTTCTTTGGACAGCATCAGTGTTAAATTCTTGTATGTGAGTCGTCTTCTTCTTCATTAGCCAAAGTGTAAAAGCAGATCTCATGAAGCTAATCTTTTTTGTTCCTGCTTACATCTAATTGTTTAACTTATTTACGGCACAGTCAGGTTGGATCATTTCATGTCCGCAGCAACTTCAATGTTTCTCCTGTTTCCCATACTGTGTGGACATCCCATTTACCTATGGTTGTTAGAAGGGTTGTCGGCACCATAACTTTCGGGGAGAAAACTCGGCAGGAAGACCCTCGAACTCCCCGGTCAGAATGTAAATTGTTTAAATGAAATTTTCTGGTTAGCGATTTTTTTACTAAGGTTGTTTTTAACTGAATTGGTTAGCTATTCCATGTCCAACCCTACTGCTTTATCTGTGCTTGGAATCGGCACTAACCAAAGAAGAGCTCCAAGTGAGTTTAGGTTAGGTAGATAAGCTGATCAGATGAAAAGAAGCCGGGAAACAGAAGTAAAAACGACGGCAGAAATAGTAAAACTATAATGACTAATAAGAGCTTTCAGGTAATTGGTATTGAATAGTATGTTCAAAAAAACAGTGGAGTAAACTGCGAACGTACACAGTGTATAAAGAAAAAATTTTGAGTAAAATACTTTTAACTAACCTAATGCAAACAAGGAAGAGATGAGAGAGTTACTAATTTCTGATGAATATGAAGACCCATAGCTTCGCTATTTGTAGAGAGATCGAGACCGAACTGGCATAAGGAAAAGTAAACCTTTTCCAACACGAAGTGAAGTTCTCATTTACTAATTTGTCTTTTTACTGTATGAGTAAAAGTAGCTTAAACCCTAGCTAATGGTCTACCACAAGTCAATTAGGAAATGATTACAGAGGTTCGTTGTTAAGTATCCTCCCTATCTCACTAATTTCAATCAATTTTTGTGAATGTTATTTCAATGTATATTTTTCCAAATACAAAACCATTGTAAAACATTGATTTTAGCTTTTATCATTTTATATCAATAATAGTACACCCACTTATCATCTACTAACAATTTTTACTTTGTATCCTATTATGTTATGTTCTAAGCTATTCGACTCTATTTCTGTTGCTATATTATCGATTCAAAATAGAGGTATTATTCTCTTTCCGTTGTGTTGTACCTTGGCAATCTATTCTCGCTAATTTCCTTGTTTGTTTTATTTTAAATTCGAGTGTAGTATGTGTATGCATGTTTGGCTTACTTTGTCTGACTATCAATGATTAGTCATGCTCCATCTACATTGAGTGGCTCGCTTGCCTTCTCCACTTCATCGCTTCACGCTTTGATATGAGAGCGTTGTATTTTTCATGTTTGTCTGCATGAATGATTGCTTGATAAACTCATTCCAACTGAATAACTATTTGTCTTTTTATTACCGCTGTCGTAGAAACGGGATTAGCCTAAATATGATATCCGGAAACTGCAAGGGTAGATTTATTTCATGGCAAACTCAAATCATTCGTGAAAATCGGAGTCATGACGAGACACTAAAATCCCATTGAATATTATTGTATATATTCAAGCCTGATAAGGATATCAATGAAAGCAATATTTGAAATCATCAATCATCATTGTTAGACCACCATTAGAAACCTGCAAGCACTGGAAGAGGGCCGTTTCGTCCCTGGTATGGACTCATCAGCAGTGCGCATCCACGACTCCTGCACCTCGCAGGATTCAAACCCAGGACCTTCGGTACTGTGCGCGAGCGCATAACCATCGGACCACTGATGAGTCCCGTACCGGACGAAACGGCCGTCCAGTGCTTCCGGGGGTTTCGAATGGTGTTTTAACAATGATTGATTGATGATTTGAAATGTGTAAAACACAAACCTCCAAAACTCTGCCAGAAAACAGTATTTACCTCGTGGTTTAATCTAATTTTGCAATATGAGAATTTTTTTTAATATTTTAAACTTGAGACTTTTGAAGATGTACAATAACTAGCTAATTTGATATTGTCATGATCAACACAGAGAAGTGGGTTACATTCATATCCGTTTAAAAATCAACGGCACAAAGTAAATGAATATATACATGAAAAGAGGTTGATTTAAATTATCCTGAATGATAATTGAGACTGATAAAATACTCTATATTTCATTTCACTCACTGCAACTGAGTTTAATCCTTCTAACGTCGGTTAGTGATTGGATGATTTATAAGAGGAATAAGTGTAGTTCGTAGGTTACTAGTATTCGATCATAGATGTCTTAGAAGCACTGCTCGTATACCGTGGAACAACCAAGTAAGGAATGCTGTCTTTAGGAAACAGGTACTAGGTAAGGATGGCAAATCAATAGATGAAGTATTGAAACTTCATCAGTTGAGGTGGTTAGGACATGTGGTACGAATGCCTAACCACCAGCTGCCTCGACGAGCTATGTTTTGTGGTGTAGGAGTAGGTTGGAATAAAGCTAGGGGCGGCCAAATCAAAACATGGCATAAATCCATAAAGTCACTGACAAGTGAACTGAGTCATGTTGGTAGATGAAGACTACCTGGTTGGGGTCCGCGAGACGATAGTCACCAATGGTTAGAGACCTTGAACGACATGGCTCAAAATCGTTTGCAATGGTGCAAGTGCATCCATTCATTGTGCTCTCTCAAATCATAATCTTCTGGAATCGTCAACACCTCTACCTTTGTCTTTCTAAATTTATCCGATTGGATTATACTTCTTAAATAATATTTTCAAACCCTAATCTTCTTCATTACTAGTAATTCTTCTACTATCTCTTACACTATGGGATTTGATTTGACATTTGGGTCTTGTGCTTAAGGTGGTATGTCAGTCTGAACTTATGTACATACGTACGAAGTTCTACGTTGCAACTGACTGACTGGATCTTCTAATACCTAAATATTTTATTAAATTATTTGTATATTGTAGGGTTTATTAAATCTCAGTAAATATTTGCTTCTTT